CAGAACTCATTGCCACATGTTCCTTGCTTGACCTTTCATTAGCTTGCCTCTGGAGTTTCACCTGAGAGCCTGATGTTGTTTGGTAGTTTATGTTGGGTTAGCCCATTCTTTCTTTGTGATTTCTGCCTCTACTGAGGATTGACGTGTAACAGATGTTGCCCTGACAGCATCTGTTGTCAGAGGAATGTCTGGATTTTTCTATTTGAGCCTTCGTTTGTCCTCCAGGACAGCAGTACCGAGTTGAGCAGTAGGATCTCGGTGGGTCAGGTTCACCTCTCTGGATGCCCTGACATTGTTGAGCTCGCTTGTTGGATCCTTGTCTGACATTTGCTTTGGTTCCAACTTGCTGGACAATGACGCTGCTGTCCAGGTAGTTGTGAGACAGACCTTCCTCCAGAAGACTTCAGCTAAGGCTCATTGGGTTGGTGCTATTGAAGTTGATCCAAACCATTTTGGTCTTCATGTACATAAAAGAAAAGATCAAATTCAACCTTCCCTGCCTCCACCAAATGATTACCACCAGTATTCTATTTAAACTAAAATGGCAGTAAAATATGTTTTATTATCTTCATTTCTCATCCTGGAAAATTGACTTTTTCTGATAAAGCAAGAAGACTGTTACTCTGTAACTGGGAATATGTCATAGTTTTTCATTAGTTTCAGAAGAAAGACTTGACTGTTGCACTCTTTGTGGAAACTTAGACTAACTCTTCAAACAGCAGCCGTTTAACAATGGATTCTGTATTTTCATTGTCTTTATTTATACACCCGGGCAGATGTATGAAATGATTAAGCTTGTTATCAGGTATAAGATTTACTGTCAAAACTACTTTTAATAGAAGCCACCTTGATTCCTTTGCAGATATTTATAACATCTTGGAATCATATCTCTCCTGCTGTGGCAGCTTTAATTTTTCGAGAGCATGTTGGAAACAGTGTTGAAGTTTGGAATTTACAGTAATGTGTTTACACTTAGTCATACTGATGTTATATTTGAATGCAAAATTAACATGCAGCTACTTAAAAATGATTGTATTTGAATTAGCAGAGTAGCTTACTGTCCTGAACAAACACTATGATCCTGCTGGTCACAGCTGAGTGTGACACACATGAGAGGGAAGTCAAGTGCTTCACCAAATGAAAGGCATCATATAAATTAATTACACGCTTACAGATGTTTTCAAGCCTTTATTTCAGTTAATAATTTTATTTGTTTCACATACAAAAAATTATTAACAGATATTAATATCAGGTTGTGAGGACCGCTGAAGTCATGTCCCACATTGGACCACAACTGACACAAAATATTCATTAAGATGCATGGAAAAATTGTTTGCACATACAGAAGTTCCTATGACAGATTATTATTATTATTATTATTATTATTATTATTATTATTATTATTATGTTAGAGCCATTGTGGATAGAAAAAAGGAGAGTAATTTTCAGGCAAAAAACTTACACATTTTGAGATCAGTCTAAGGAATTTTCTAGAAAAAACTTGGAAAGTCCAGAGTTTGAAAAATCAAAAACTTACTACAACCCCCCCCCCCCCCCACAAAAAAAAAAAAAAAAAAAAAAAAAATTTTTTTTAAAAAACAAAAGAAAAAAACATC